ATGCCCGCGCTCCCGCCCGCCCTTCCCGCAGGCAGCCGCCGCCATCCCGCGCTGCCTCGCCCCTCGGCGGCCGCGGCGCCAGCTCCCGAGGGAGGGAACGGGAGGTGCCTCGGTGCCACTGAATGTGTGCAGGTGTTGCCATCTTGTAGCGGCTATAGGCTCTTAAGCCAATGCTAGACAATGGGAGGACACCAAACCGATATAGCCAGAGATGGCCACGCTTTGGATACAAGCTACAAAGGAATTGCCTTGCACTTCAGTGCTCTGGCTGCTCGTCAGCCTGCTGCTAGTTCTGCTGCTGCGGCCAGCGGAGACTTTGTGCACTGACTCACCTTCCCACCCGGCAGCTGCTCTGACATGCAAGGGAGTGGTCAGGGCCCGGAATGCATGGGCTGCGCTGGGAGTGTGTGATTGGCATTGGCCAGCTGTTTCCACTGGCAGTGGAAATGGCTAATTGCCATTTTTCAAAAATTTCCTCTAGTTCTGGGAGGTCATCAGCGATGAGCATGGCATTGATCCCACGGGCAGCTACCACGGGGACAGCGAGCTGCAGCTGGAGAGGATCAACGTCTACTACAATGAAGCTGCTGGTAAGTGCCTACTTCCTCAGATGGCCTTAAATAAATGGGGTAGGCATGACAGTTCACTGAGGCTGGAAAAATCCCTGAACAAGAGCTGTCATCTGCCACTGACTCCTCTAAGAGACCTTTGTTCTCAGAAAGGCTCTGATAACACGGCAGTCTTGATTGTGACAGGGCCTCTCCAGAGAAATGCAGGGAGGTGGAAGGGAGCACAGCAGGGCTCCTGTGACACTGGCTGCTGACTGCGGGGCTGTGACGCTGCTGCTGGTTCCTCCCACAGGTAACAAGTATGTCCCCCGTGCCATCCTCGTGGACCTGGAGCCCGGCACCATGGACTCCGTGCGCTCCGGCCCCTTTGGACAGATCTTCCGTCCCGACAACTTTGTCTTTGGTGAGTGACTGTGGGGTGGAGGAGTTGCCAGAGAGGAGCTCCTGGCACAGAAAAGACTTGGAGCGAGCATGCAAGTGTCTCTGAATCCCCATAGCAGAGTGGGGATGGAAGGGGGGGGAGGAGCCCGTAGGGAAGGGGCAGTGGCATCATCCGTGCTTGTCCCCGGGCCGCTAACGTGGGCCCTGGCTTGTGGTGTGCCCTGTAGGTCAGAGCGGGGCTGGCAACAACTGGGCCAAGGGGCACTACACGGAAGGCGCAGAGCTGGTGGACTCCGTGCTGGACGTGGTGAGGAAGGAGTCGGAGAGCTGTGACTGCCTCCAGGGCTTCCAGTTGACCCACTCTCTGGGCGGAGGCACGGGCTCCGGCATGGGCACCCTCCTGATCAGCAAGATCCGCGAGGAGTACCCCGACCGCATCATGAACACCTTCAGCGTCATGCCCTCGCCCAAGGTGTCGGACACGGTGGTGGAGCCCTACAATGCCACCCTCTCTGTGCACCAGCTGGTGGAGAACACGGACGAGACCTACTGCATTGACAACGAGGCCCTGTATGACATTTGCTTCCGCACCCTGAAGCTGACCACTCCCACCTACGGGGACCTCAACCACCTGGTGTCGGCCACCATGAGCGGCGTGACCACCTGCCTTCGCTTCCCCGGCCAGCTGAACGCCGACCTGCGCAAGCTGGCGGTCAACATGGTGCCTTTCCCGCGGCTGCACTTCTTCATGCCGGGCTTTGCCCCGCTGACCAGCCGCGGCAGCCAGCAGTACCGCGCCCTGACGGTGCCCGAGCTGACGCAGCAGATGTTCGACTCCAAGAACATGATGGCCGCCTGCGACCCCCGCCACGGCCGCTACCTGACGGTGGCCGCCATCTTCCGGGGCCGCATGTCCATGAAGGAGGTGGACGAGCAGATGCTCAACGTGCAGAACAAGAACAGCAGCTACTTTGTGGAGTGGATCCCCAACAACGTGAAGACGGCCGTCTGCGACATCCCCCCGCGCGGCCTCAAGATGTCGGCCACCTTCATCGGCAACAGCACGGCCATCCAGGAGCTCTTCAAGAGGATCTCGGAGCAGTTCACGGCCATGTTCCGGCGCAAGGAAGAGGAGGGAGAGGAGGATGAGGCTTAAGCTGCCTGGTATCAAAGGAGCTTCTGTAAGCAGGCATGCATCTGAATGACTTCTGATAGTGGTGGTGAAGCATGTTTTCTAGAAACTATGTACCCAATTATCCTCTCAGCTTTTGTGACTTTGCCAGATTTCTCAATGTAACAGTTCTGAATCCTAATTCTTACAATGTTTTTTTGTCCTTTAATATTAAGAGCACATAAAGGCATGTATTCAAGATCATGGTTTCTGTCTTTCTTAATACCTGTATTGGACAAAGAACAGCTGTTCAGCCTAGGTGGCAACAAGTAAGTTTAAAGATATGTCAGAAATCTTGCACTACAGTGGTATGCTCTGGTCACTGAGGCTTATGTATTCTTAAAATGTATGCTTCTCATGCAAATATGTTTAATGTTTTTCTTGCAGGACTCAAACCTATCTATAACTGCATTGAAAATGGAAAGTCAACCTTAATTCCTAAACAAGGCAAAGGCTAAGCACCTCTGACTTTTTTCTACAGTTCATGTCAGCGTAGAAAGTTTTCCACTTCTCTGTTGAAGTCATTTGCAAAACGCAGGTGTAAATTATGCTTTCCTTCTGGCATCAGAAGCAACCTTAAAAAAAACACCAAATACTGATTATACATTTTATCCTGTGAATATAGGTAGTTAAAATGCTTGTTGCGTTTTCTTTGCTCTTGGTTACCCAGTAAGGAATTGCAGTAACTCATATTTTAAGTACTGTCCCCATGTATGTGATTGGAATGTGAACCACAACAACAGTTGGAACAAGAATCCTGCTACCTCTCCCACTCTGGGGAGAATGGAATAAGCCTAAACCAAATTTTTGTGTCCTAGACCCAGTTTCTAGAAAACTTTCTGGTGATCTTCAGAGAAGATAAGATTCCAAAACTTATGTAAGATGCACCTTTGAAAGGTATGTAAAGTACCTGAGGACTTTTGCCTCTTTCAGAGAACAGTAGTTGTGCTGGGCAGTGAAATGTGGAGTTCTTGTCATTACCCAAACTTGGTTAGTATTTATACTTTGTCTGATCTTTCTGCAAAAAGACAATCCAAAACTAAATCTATTCATCCATTAAAATAAAAAGGGAAGTCAGTCATTCTCCGACTATACCAAAAGCTTAGAAGTAGTACCTGTGAATAAGATTAAGTTTTTATTATATGAATATGATTTTGACATGCCTAAAATCCTAATTACTTTTGCTTTCTATCTGAGACAAACTTCATACATCAGGGATATACACTTCTTTATATGGAGGTGGAAAATTCTTTAGATTGTTTTGTCTCATTGTATACTAACCAGTTTCAACAGGGCTAAAACAATTTTGATAGTATGTTGCCTTCATTTCAAAGTCCCACTATAGTAGGAGAGATCAACCTCCTTTTGGTGGTGACAAGTGCTGTTTTCTTTTGGAAAAAGAGCAGCAGCCTGTGAGCATACCCAGCTTTTCTAGTGAATTGTGTCTGAATTTTATCAAGTTTGTTTAGTGAAAGATAAGCAGCACACAGTTGCACAAAGCACTGCCCCATGCTATTTCCTATGGCTGCTAATGTTTTCTACTACTGCAGTGCTACCAAACTCCAGCCATACCACGTGAATGCAAAATGATGGCACACTCTTTGACCATGACAGAAACCAGCAATGCATCTGCACTATAGTCACAGGAAGCTTTTTCTACTTTACTACTAGATAAAAATCAAGGCAGGAAAAACTGATGATAGAAGCATATATTACTGGAAATGTACTGAATTTAAGCTTTTCCTTCTGCTTCACAAGGGAAAATGTAATTTCCAATGAAACCAGGTAAAAATAAGACCATTCATTTCAGAGAACACCATTAGTCTGGTTTCTTTTCTGAAAAATTTGCATACAGGGGAGCACTTCAGCACAAAGACAGTCAAAGAATCACTTTTACATTTTATTGGATAGCAGTTTCTAACAGTGCTTTTTTTTTGACTTGTCTTCCAAAGAGAAGCTATCAGATTCTTGTCTAGTTTCTTGGGATAATTTGCCTTAGTCAGCATCTGGAGTATTTTGGAGCTCAGTGAAACCAAGCAGGATAAGTGTTCTGAACAGGGCATGTAGGAGTGATGAACCAGAAGACATTAAATAAAACACCTGCATGTGATTGTTAGGAAGATCTCTTGTTCTCTCCTTTCCTCTAGCAGAATGCATTACTATGATCAGCAGGACTGACTTTGAGATATCATTCATTTTTGCACTGAGATGACACCAGTGAAACAGTTCCCTACACTTCGCATTCATAAAAATGCTTTCCCCTCCCCTGCCACTACTTCTGTTCTCCAGTGCTAATCATCACAGTCTGTTACTAAGTAGTAATAGAATGCTCACGTTTGTGTGCAAATTCATGAAGAAAATTCAGCTGGTAAAATCACAGCTTTTTATAGGAAGCGCTTCTGGAATTTTCAAGTTCTGCTGGTTTTGGCTAGGACTGAGTCAATTTTCTTCACAGTAGCTGTTACAGGGCTGTGTTTTAGAGTTGTGCTGAACATCGTGTTGATAATACAGAGATGTTTCTGTTATTGCTGAGCAGGGCTTGCACAGGATCAAGGCCTTCTCTGCTTCTCCTACTGCCTCACTAGGGAGGAGGCTGGGGGGGCACAAGGGGTTGGGAGGGGACACAGCTGGGACAGCTGACCCCTACTGACCAAAGGAATATTCCATACCATATAGCATCATGCTGAGCATACAGAGCTGGGGAATCAAGGAAGTAGGATGTTTGGAGGGATGATATTTGTCTTCCCAAGTAACTGCTATGTGTGATGAAGCCTGGCTTTCCTGGGGATGGCTGAACACCAGCCTGCCTGGGGATGAGTGAGTTAACTCCTTGTTCTTATTTTGCTTGCATCTGTGGCTTTTGCTTTAGCTATTAAACTCTTTATCTTAAAGCATGAGGGTTTTTTTTCCATTTTTACTCATCTGATTCTGTCCCTTATCCCATGAGTGGAGGAGGCAGTGGTACTGAGTTGCTGTCTGGGGTTAAACCACAATGCACATGAAGCAGATTTTTCTTGATATTTTTCTTGTTTATATAGTGATGTTTTTGAGCATACCTGTACATTTTTTTTCCTCATTCTGCTTTTCTTAAAAACATTGAGAATTCATGGGACAGCTGGAAACAGAATATTTGAGGTTTTTCACATTGATAGGGCAAACAGAAGTAAACTGTGTTTCTCTCTCCATTCATAGTGTCTAAATTCCCCATTCTGAATGGAACAGAAATGATGTCTCTTACAGCAAAAGGAATGCAATAGTCATAACAAACAACTTTGCTTGCTTTGATAAAGCTTAGGGAGTAGTGGTTCTGTTTGTGTAGTGGAAAGAGGAAAAGGAACTTAACTTGGTTTCTCTCAGAGGGCTTTAGGAAGGAGCTTATTAAAATACTGTACCTTTTATATTGCAAGAAAAGTCCAGCTACTCTGTTTCCATTGTAACTTGCTAGGGAAGTTTAGAATAGCTCTCTGTGTGGCAGAGGCAACTTGTCCAAATGCATTTTTTTTTTAAAACACTGGGTTTGAACTACTTAATTTCTCCAACAACAGTTTATAAAAATTCCATCATTTAACTTACCGAGAGCCTTTGATGTGCTTATGAATATATTCTGCATGAGCTTGTGGGACCAAAGGGTCTTTCTCACCATGAATTATAAATGTGGGACACTCAATATCTGGCAGCAACTGTTGGCAGATATTACCTAGGGAGAAAACAAACGAAGGTCACGCTTCAGTTTAAAATTGTATGAAAGATGAAACTGCTTCCATAAAGGACTCTGAACTCCGCTGGGTTCTAGCTATTGCCTGTCCTTGTGAATTGGTGTGATTAATCTACAGAACTATGTAAGCAGGACGATAATTAACATTTCTTTTTCCAAAATCTTACTTCACTGCAATTTGCTCCATTAATGGATACACATTAATGGATATCACAAAAGGATACAGAGAATGAAGTACTTTTGTTCCACATTTCCCCCAGGCTCCCTTTGACTCTTCAAAGCAAATACATGCATCTCATTCCCAGCTTTGTTCTTTTCAGCCTTAGAGTCTTCTGGCCCTCATTTAAGCTGCATTTTGTTACAATAGTTGTCAGGTTACCAGCTTTGCTACTTTTTTGGAACAAATTAACCTAGGCTGTACTTATACCTGTTGCACCTCCCAGGCCCTTTGCTGTCAGCAATGTTCTAATGGAATGACCCTGGCTGGATGCCAAGCACCTACCTAAGCCTCTCCATCACTCCCTTCCACAAGTGGACAGGGGAGAGGAAACAGAAATAAAGGTTCCTGAGCTAAGGACCAGGAGAGAGCACTCACTGAATACCATCATGGGCAAATCAGACTCAACTTAGGCCTATTAATTGAATTTATCACTAACAAAATAGGAGCATGATAATGAGAAGTAAAATTAATCTTAGAAACTTCTTCCTGGATTCTACATCCTGTCCCTCTGTGGTTCAGGGAGATGGGGAGTGGGAGTTGTGGTCAGTTCATCACAAGTTGCTGCTCAGGGAGTCCTTCCACTGCTCCAGTGTAGGGTCCCTCCCACAGGAAACACTTCACCATGAGCTTCTCCAACACAAATCCATCCCACAAGCAATGGTTCCACACAATCTGCTGCAAGGTGAGTGATCTTTGCACAGCCTGCAGTCCTTCAGGCACAGCCTGCTCCAGCATGGGTCCCCGCGCTGGGTCACAAGTCCTACCAGGAGACCTGCATCAGTGTGAGCTCCTCTCTCCATGGGTCTGCAGGTCCCTGCAGGAGCCTGCTCCAGTATGGATTTCCTACAGGTATAGAGCCCTCTCTTTAGCATACACCTCCTCTGGCATGGGCTCCTCCATGGGCTGTAGGTGGATCTCTGCATCCCTGTGGACCTCGATAGGCTGCAGAGGCACAGCTGCCTCAGCAGGGACTGCACCACGAGCTGCAGGAAAATCTCAGCTCAAGCACCTGGAACACCTCCTTCCCTTCCTTCTTCACTGACCTTGGTGGCTGATAGTTGTTCCTCCCACGTATTTTCACTGCTCTCCTCTGGCCGCAGTAACATCTGTGCAGTATTTTTTTTTTTCCCTTCTTAAGTATGTTCTCACAGAGGTGTTACTGGCATCACTGATTGCCTTGGCCTTGGCCAGGGGCATGTCCATCTTGCAGCAGGCTGGCATTGGCTCTGCTGGACACCGAGGAAATTTCTAGGCACCCTGCAACCCCCTGGTACCAACACCTGGCCATGCAAACCCAGTACAAATGCATAACCATTTGATATAAATTGTACTAAAACTATTCAAAGGTTATTTCCCCTGCTCATCCATAATTTTATGCTTACTCGTCATTAATCTCATTAGAAGTAACTTCAATAGTTTTGCTTAAAGATATTTCTGAATTTTCTCCCCTTTTTTCCCTCATTCCTTAGTAACCCAGTTTCCAAACTCATTGCCTAACTTCCCACATTATTGCAAGGGAATCTTTGGGCAAAACATCCTTGATGGGCTTCATGTTCCATTTTTCTTAGAGGTAACTTTGTCTATTTATAGTTGTCACCTTGCAACTACCAACAGCTGTAAGATTAATGCTCACACATACACACTTTCCTTAGCTCTAAAGTCAGAGGCTATTTCACATTTTTTTCAACTGGTTGGTTATTTATGCAGCCTTTGCAGTTCTACTGGTTAAATATTTTCCTTTTGAACATTTTACCCACAGTCCTCTAACAGCTGCAGAAATGTTGACTGTTTTTCAAAACAAGCACCAAGTAAATTTAGGTTATTTATCTAGGATCACAGTTGGCAGTTAAACTATTATTTCCTAGTTTTCAGTCCTATAATTGTACTATAACCACTAAATTATACGTACCCTAAAAGCATGGAACAGCAAGAAGAATCTTGGATGTTGTGACTTTATGCAACTTACTCAATTTCATTAAGTGTTGGCTCCTCCTAAAAGTTCATTTCTTATGGTATTTCACACTACAAGCTGTCATATTCTGGGAAAATAATCTAGTTTAAGAAGACCTTGAGTTTTTGACCAATGTTGGCTTTGCTTTGTTGTCCTCTTTTTATCTCTGATGGGTTTTATTAACACCTTTTCTTATACCTTTTGTATCTGTGCCCTTGTTGCAGTGTCGTAACTTTAATTGCAAGGTGGTCTGTTTGTAATCAAAGTTGGAAAATTTGTTTTCTCCTGGAAAGAAACCTGAAGTTTGATAGCTGCTCATCTCTTGCAGCAAACATTAGGCTTCTCCTAATATCTGACCCAGTTTCAGCATCTAGGTAATTCAGCTCCTTGTTACATGTTTCTTGGTGGTTTCTTTTTTCACAGTCACTTTATCTCAGTGTCTCAGGCATGTGCAGACAGTGAAGGGATTCCACAGCCACAGATTCACCAGCCTGGGCTTTTCACTTCAGAAAAAATATAGTTTTAAGGAGATTCCAGAAAAGGTAAAATAAAATCAGAACCTAATTTGTTGCATCACTCTACTGGGAGAAATCCTAGTCCTGTGTTGATCCTATACAAAAATTTATGGAAAAAATAAGACATGAAGGAACGTCTTCCTTGTAGTACCTGCCGCCTGCTAATGTACATCACCTCCTATCTTTTATTATGAGGCTACAGGAAAATGTGTATAAGACCTACAAACTCTATTTTTCATATGTTATGTATTACCTCTTTAGGCAAATTAAAAGCAAATTCCCTCTGAATCAAAATAGAACCACAGACTATTATTCATAATCTCCTTGCTGAAAAGGTCTTTGTAGAGTAACTGCAGAAATCTTGAGGGATAAACAATTATATTGTCTAGTTTAACATTTTTTTGTTTTATTTTTATACACCTGAGCTGCTTCAAGGGTGCTTTTAAAATCTGTTATTTTAATTCTGAGTTCTCAAAGTCTTTTAAAATCTGTTATTTTAATTCTGAGTTCTCAAAATCTGAAGTCCCTTCTTTTTTGACTCACATGCTTCAAGGTTTGAAAGAGCTATTCAGCTTTGTTTTGCAAAAGGTGGAAAGAGCATGCCTTACTTTTGGTACATCTTAACTATGTCACCAAGAGATAATTCTTTGACACAGAGACAGAAGAGATATTCTACCTGAGCAGAATCCTTCCTATTTAGTCTGCACAAAAGCAGTGAGTTAATAATGCAGTTTTGTGGCAGAACAAGAGGATAGCCTTATCAGCTCATGTTTTCTGTAAATGTTTTCCTCCTGTATCTTTCTGGTTCCGTGAACTATCTAACGAGTAATTGTGTTATTCCTGAGTGTGAGTCAGACCCAGCTTTTAATGCCATATGCAGTCATTCTTTTACTGGCTGCTAGAAGTACTGTTAGTTGTTTTTTTTTAATCCAGAGCTGCCTGCTACTCTAATTGCCTCAGTTCAGCATTGTGAAATCCTTACCGTCTGCATTTTCAGCAAAGCGCGATATTCCATCTACCCAAGCCTCACAGGTTTCAGCAAAGTACTTATGTCCATATAGCTCTTCCAGTGGTTTCTTGACCTTTTCACTCCATTTTGAAACATCTCGAATGCCTACACAAAATAACATTGAGATATGTTATGTCCTTTCCAACAAAAAGGTACAAACCACACCTAATATGGGGAAGTTTTCAAACCAGACTGCAAATATGCTTTTCAAACTTGAAACTGCAATGCGTATTTCAAAAAATTCATGGTATGGAAAGGGCATAAAAAAAGACAGCTGTACAACTTCTGCTGTGGTCTTCTGAGTTGTAGAGGAACATCTTGTTATTATGGTCATAAGGAAAATCAGAAAAAACATAATATTCAAAGGACTCAATCCTAAAACTTCTGATGGTTCTTTCTGGAAGGCTTTCACAAGAGAAGTTCAAGGACTACCTTGTGCATAAAAATGTTCATAACAGTGTGTTAGACCTGGCAGTACTTTTTTATATCCTTTAGCCTTTTACATTGACTCATGGATGGAAGTTCTTCCATGGCTCCTACCAGCTCTCAGAGGAAGGAAGTTCTTACTAAGACATTCCAGCAGACTGACATCATGGTCCATTTGCCATAGTTTTATACAAAAACAAGTGACTCAGTAGAGATCTGTGACTCATGGCAGACTGGCTAAAACTGTACAAATAATCTGACATTTTAGTTATTTGTCAGTTATAATCTGACATATTTAGTTATCAGATTTTCCCTCTAAAATTTTCAGCACTGCTCACAAACTAGATACTCAAAAGGGTTATTTTCACTAAACTATATTTCAGCTGTACAGCTTTGTACTGACAGTCTGAAACAAGGCTGGCACAGCAGAGAACAGGACAGTACTAAATCATCAAACTGCAATACATGCCACTAGCAAAGGTTTTAATTGGTTTCAAAAGAGAATTAAGGGAAGAAAGGAGTGAGGTGTTAATTAACAAAGAGAACCTGTCCAGCCAAATTACAAAGGTAGCAGTGACTGGAAGTATTTTATAACAGCATCTGATGGGAAATGAGTCTGCTCACCCCAGGCTAGGTGCTACTGAATAACTGTTTCCTATATAAGACCTACTGTTTTATCCTTGTGGCTGGCATTAATTTAAAAAAGGAAGGGAGGAGCCAATGTTGAAAGGGCATAGATACCAAATCAACTAATTTCTCTTCTGTCAAACCCTCCACTGCAGCTGAGATGCACTGATGAGCTAATTGTAGAAGACTTGTGCTGATACTCTCTGAGCTCTATCAGCCAGGGAGAGATGTTGAAAGCAACAATCCACAAAGGACAAAGACCAATATTGCAGCGGGTGCTCCATGTAAATAGGACCTCTATTTTGTTGTTGTTTTGTTTTTTATTAAAAGTATAAAAACATATAAAGAAACAAAGCATTTTACAGAGCTAAAAAGCATTTTGCTTTCTGAACCAAAAATATATATTACTACTACTACCACCATTTTTAGTTTTAGTATAGGTGAGGTAAATACAGATGTGAAATATATACACTTGTAACTTTGCGGAAGCTAGAGAGATTTTACAGCTGATATAAACCAAACTCCAGTCACTAAAATGAAACTATTCTGGGTTACATTTGTTGAGAGCCAAAATGGTTAACTCTTTTCATTTCTATGCTCAAAAGGAAATGACTGAGTTCACTGGCCATTTCTTCCTATTTACCTTTATAGTGAGAATGATCTCAGATTCTATTTCATTTGAGGGGAATAAGGATCAGAAACCCCATGTTTCTTTACTTTGCAAAGGTTTTCTAATGATAATAATTAACTCTGAAGGAATGCAAGTGGTAAAGACAACTTGAGACATTTATTTGAATGACTCCTTTGCTTCTTGAACTTGAAAGGTAAGTTATGAACTTGTTTTCTTACTGTCTATACTATATAGGCCCTAGAGGCAAAAGCTGTAATGAGCTAGCCCAGTGATTATCTGTGGATGTGGTTTTAAAAAGACTGTGCAAGATGTGAGATAAGAAATCAAACCGGGAGTTTGATAGTATTATTTGGAAGTTATTTTTAGGAATTTCTTATAACAAGAAAAATTTCAATTTCTAAAAATTAATGGTAAACTATTATAACTTCTGCTTTTCATCAGGGTAAGGGCTTGTTAAAAAATCTATTAACCCTAGAGTAATTGTCAGAGAGTTTCTCACTATAATTTAATCTGTCCCTATACTTAGCAATGTAGTGAATTTTGTATCTTATCTCTTCAGGTTTCTTCTCAGTTCTGTCTCCACTTAGCTGTTACATGACTAAGATTCTTGGGTCAAGTAGAAATGAAAATAATTCATTTAGAATACGACATGCAGTTCATACATACCATTGTAAATTCTCACATCCTCTTGAGTGACACTGGCATTTGCTCCCCAGACAACCAACTTGTGGATAAGATTTGGGTACCTTGCAGCAGCAATGAGTGCTGTAATTCCACCATCACTCCACCCCAGCAAGGAGAACTTCTTAAACTTTAGTGCCTTGATTCATAAAAGAAAGTTATTTGCAAATCACCAACTGGCTTTACAGCCAAATGTCAAATATTTCTTGTAAATTAACTTTACAGTTTTAAGCACAACACTGCATAGTTGAACTATAGTGAGCTTTTATAATTAGAAAATATAGTTTTCTTGCTATACATAAAAATATTAAAAGAAGTCAAATATTTAATAAACAAATTACACCTTTCAAAAACAAATTCACTTTTTAATGGTCAGATCTGCTGTCAATTCTTGGAAATGACTGATAATTGGTCAGGAGGAAAAACTCCCAGTTTCAACTTCCTCTCCTTCCAAGCTGTCTTAAAGGTAAAGCTACCCTATGACAACCTGCCATTTCAATTTTCTATAATTCTTTAATGAAACAGACAGTAGTCCTATTAGATTCTTGCTGTGTTTTAAAAAGAAAAAAAGAAGTCCAAAAAAAGAAAAATTGATTTAAAATGGAGAGTAAAGTCCTTTTCAGAGAAGCTGATCATACGAAGAATCCATGGATTCTCTTGGTGTGAAGTTGGCAAGGACTTACCACAGTGTAGATAGTAAGCAATCCAAGATTAAGCTAAACTTAAGAAGTGTAAGACTTGAAGAATGGAAGCCAGTGATCTGGTTTACTGATGCTAGCTGAGCTAAAAAAACAATCTGCTCTATAACAAACAAAAAATGCTTAAAGTATTAGCTAAAGGATTGCATCAAATTTTAGTTGCTATTTCACATTTTCTGAAGCTTTTAAGTGTATATTTTAAATGTAACTTCATGGTCAGTTGCAATTCAAAACATTAATAACTAAATTCCTCTGTCTTCAAAAGGAAAGCTCAGGGCAAAAAATATGACAACCAAGACCTTAATTCATTCTGACCAGTCACAAGACACAAAGGAATGGCATGAAGCTGAGTTGGGGGAGGTTTAGGTTGGATATCAGGAAAAGGTTTTCTACCCAGAGGGTGGTTGGGCACTGGAACAGGCTCCCCAGGGAAGTGGTCACAGTGCCAAGCCTGACAGAGTACAAAAAACATTTGGACAATGCTCTCAGGCACATGGTGTGACTCTTGGGGTGTCCTGCACAGGGCCAGGAGTTGGACTCGATAGTCCTGATGGGTCCCTTCCAACTCAGCATGTTCTGTGATTCTATGCTTTCTACTAGAATTTGAAACTTTTGCTTCTTCAAAAATCACTGTATGTGGTAAGGAATACTGGCAGTCACAGGAGAAATGATTTTGTGTGTGTTATGTTCAGTGGGGAAAGAGTGGAGAAGGTAAAGGCACTCATGAGAAAATACATCTGAAGGTTGTGGAGGGACGATATTCAATAGTTAAGCAATACTTGAAATTTTGCATGTAGGAACTGCAGTTTGTGAACTCATTCACAAGAAAATATATTTCATAGTGTTTTTTGCTTTTGTTCTGCAGAAATTACAGTCTTTTAGATGTAATTAAGGAGGGTACTGTACTTTTGGAGGAAAAAGAGCAAGTTAGCCGAAGGAGTTGCTTTGGTGCTTGGTGGTGTCAGAAGTCCAGGCCTGCTTTGTTGTGACAGTAGAAAGCAAAAATGCAGGCAATGAGAGAAACAACTAAAAAAGACAAAAATAAGTTTTTATTTTCCTTGTAAACTTGATGCTTAAGTGAGGCATAACTTTACTAATCAACTCAATATTTAGCAGATTTCTATCCCTATAAGGCTTTTCTGATTTTGGCTTCTTCCTCGGTATTCTGCTCGCTGTAGTTCTGACCAAATTTAGATTTCACTCTGCAAAGCTATTATTACTAGACAGAAAGGAAATAAGGTAGGGGAAAGAAAGGGAAATGTAAAGAGCTGATAGCAAGGAAGGAGAACTTTGAATATTTACAGCTGAAGTTGGCCCTGGTCTAATGAAGAGGTAATTAATCTGTATACAACTTTCACTATTGTGCTGCTGAAGGGTTCCTGGTACCTTGGCAGATTTTGGGGGTTGGCAGCAGTGCTTGTAAAGGTCAAGCTTTTGATTTTGCTACTGTTCCCCTACTGCCAATAGCAAATGATGGAGCTCAAAGTTGGCTGATTAATGGAATAGCTGATTAAATTTTTTGTTGTTCATGCCAGGTTGAGATCTATTTGCTTCCAGTATTTCTCATGTTTACTAGCCTTTATCTTGATGCATTCTTTGGGGTACCTCAGGATGCCTTTCCAGCAGGAAGAATTTAATTTATCCTTTGCAGCCTTCAGAAAAACAATGTGATGTAACAGACGTGCTGGATCAGGCATGCATGTTTGTTTGCTTGAATTTTTAACTATTTACAGTACAGGTCACCAACCTAACATGGGCAATAACCTGAAAGCTGGTTGCACAGCATAGTTTTGTGGGTGATTTTGTGCTGCCTTTACTCAGTGAGTTAACAAAATTTCTTTTTAAGTCACCTCCTCCATCCCGGCCTATGTGAAATGCAATCCAATGACCACACACAACAGTGAGCTGCAATACAAGATCACTCTGCACTGCACTTATGTGTGTATCACAGGGAGTGTGGCACAAGCAAGTTACAGTTGATCTACAAAAACATAGAGAAGCCCAAGCCCATCCTTTTGCTAGGACAGTGGCTCTGAAGAGTAAGAACTTCTTAAATATCAACACTAATTATTTCCCTAATGATTGTTTTAATGCTATTGACTTTGCTAGCATTAGACATTTGGGTGGAGGGCAGCAAAGTGAACTTGGATGCATTAAGCTCCTTTTATTTCAAGCAAACTCCTTCACAGAACACAAACAGAGATACAGAACAATGTCTTCTGCATAAAGGTGCTAAATACCTTGCAGAATTTTAGCTTTTGTTATTTCACAGAAACCTTGCATCACTCACAGCTCCAGCAGACACCAGAATCTGAAGGAGACTAGAACAAAGGTTCTGAAGGCTCACCTATACAGATGTGTTTTTTGGCTGATTGTAGGTTGGATGTATATAAACCATTATATCCTGGAAATCATAATTGGAATGATTCATAGGGATTTGTGTGATCCTTTATAATATCCAAAAATAGAAGCAAGTCACACAGGTAGCATTTTAGTAAGTTGTTATTATATGCTTATACTGAAAAACATCTTCAAAAAACCAGGATGCTACGCCTCATTTGCTTTGGCAGCTTTAGAGATTGGTAGGCTGCTGTCCTGTTTGGAAGCTGAACGGTTACATTCCCTTTGGGGAAAGCTCTGTTTAATATTTTGCATTTATTAGTATTTGAACAGAGACATAAAAGGGGGTTACAACCATTTAGACTGCAAGTTTGTCAACTATTCATGGCAGCATCTTTATTTTCTTTGCTAGTGTAGCAGAAGAAATTGAAGATTTACAGTACAGATACATAGCTTTTATGGTTAGAGGGCAAATCTGTGTCTTAATCCCGATTCTGCTGTCAGATTTATTTTGTTTCGCTAAGCAGAATACACCTAGAAGGCCACATTTCCAGTTTCAGATGGGTTTTCAGCAAGGTTATTGCTTCTTACAGAAATACAGTTGGACTGACTGTCTGAATCTTGCCTCATATTTTCTGATTTTTAATGCTCTGCCAACTTTTTTAACATGACCAAAGAGACTGTACATCTTAATATAAAAAAGCCAGAATATTAGTTAAAGCTAAACCAGAAAATTGTGTCAGAAGTTATAGGACAGAATAAAAGAGGAACACAGAAACAGAGATTTGAATAAAAAAATCTGCAAGAAGGAGAAATAATAACAGCTTTAGGCCATATTCTTTATAACTACAATAGCTGTATTAATTAGTAAGACTAGGTATGGTCACAGGAAGCCTTTGATTTCCCACAAAAATGACCTCAGTAATATGCAGTAAAAAGCAAGGCATCAAGTTAATTTTTAGAATCAAATGTTTCTTAAAATGGACTGCTCAAGGCAGAATGCCAAGATTCTATTCAATAGAAAATTTTCTAAGAGCCCTTCAGTATGGTAATCCCTTCAATGAAATTAATTTGCACAGACTTTGTTTCCTGTACACACATTTAACTAAACTTATATGGTTCTTGGCTACAAACCTCTTAGAGCAGGGTCTTAGAATAAAAGCATATTGCTTTATATTCATTCTCACTGCTGAACCTCTATGCATCTTACAGAATAGGTGGAAGGAAATATTTTCTGGAATAGTGTGTATATGCTCACTTTTTAAGCCTTCATTTGTATGGTCTTTTCATAATCTGCTGTCTACTGGAAGCAATGTTCCTCCTCAAAATTTAAGGAAAACAGCTTTAAAAAAAAAATAAAAGAAATAATAAATCTCGTAATAGATTTACCTGCATAAGATCCACAGCATCTTTTGCATCCCTCTCAAAGAAATCTGGAGGAAAGTCTCGAGACGGAGGAATAGACTTTCCATATCCCCGAGGATCCCAAGCAACAACTGTAAAAAGCTGCTTATTCATAGACTTAAGCTGTGGTCCAAAATCAGTTTGACCACTTCCTGAAACATTAGAGTTTTTCAATTTTATTAAGCACCATACTGCACACATAGTATACATACTCTAAAGGGAGAGTGGGGAAAACTTGTAACTTTCTGCCAAATAAGAGATTATTCAACATGTGAAGTACTCTTTAATTATAACTATTCATTGCAACTCTTAGACAGGAAGTACCACACCTAAAATCTTTAGAAGCATCTGTAGTATGTTCTGAGCAAACCATTTCTGGTAGGTTTATCAAGGTTATCAAGAACAGCACCCTCTCATATGATTAAATACAGTATCTTAAACTGAGTTATCTGAGTAGGGATTTATCTTGGACAGATTTAAAGAACTAGCATGGTCATTGTTGTTTACCTGGACAATACAGGTGAAACTGAGAGGGCAGGAATATTTTAAAAAGTCTGTAAGTGAAAAGCACTGTGCCAGACAGTTACTATTTGACAAAGCATCTCCATGAGAATATTGGTGGTTAAAACTCACCTTTAAATACTTTGTTGCAGGAGGAGACTGTGGTAATACAGAAGCATAAAACTGAATATTTTAATTTTTCTAGTATGTAAAAACAAGTGAAATACAGCCATTTTTACTGATGCAGGACCATTTCTTTTATTAATGACTCAGACCTTCAAAGGATTTAAAAATTAAGTACTCCTGTCTATTGCACTAAGCTATTTGACTAAAACTTGTTCAAATTTATTATTGCACAATGCTATTTGATTAAAACTTGTTCAAATTTAATGTGCTGAAATATAAAATTTGTTATCCATTGCTATACTAAAAAGGCCATTTAAAGGCATTTAAGAGATTTTTTTTCTGTTTGTTTGGAGAAATCTGTCCTCAGATACTATCAATAGGTCAAAGTTATAAAAGAGGCTTTTCATAGCCTGCTATGATGATAGTAATGTATGCATAAAAATAATAATAATAAATAATTATCAGTAATAATAATATTGTTCACAACTAAAGAAATATATTATTTCTGTTTAGAGTTTGCATTGGCAACAGGATTTCTAGTTTAAAAAGCTGTTTAAAATCAATAGATTGAAACATATGACTACTTGAAAGATGACTAGCACTCTCCCCTTGAGAATTCTTTGAAAGAAAGAACCACTTTGTGAAGACTTGAAAACATTGCTGCCAAGAAGAACAAATGTTTCCTGCCCTTCAGTTCTTGACATTTTATCATCTTATTCAGCAATTCAATTAAGCATTTGCCCAACTCTGAGCACAGTAACAGTCCTACTAGCAGCCTGCCATGAACTGTTGGTAAGTCTGATGGATCATTTAGAACTGCAAGAACCCAGAAAAAATAGGCCGTGTTAATTTTAAAAGGTTGTTATCAAAAACAGCGGTTTCAGTGTACAGACACCACTTAGCTAGCAGAACCTGTTGCCCATCTCAAAAAACCACCTAGAATCTTAATAATGTTGCCCTGAATAAACAAAATGTGAAAACACATCTTTAAGCAAAAGATAAATTTTAAGAGCCACACTACATCTATTAATTCAGTCAGAATCCATCCAGCTTCTAAAGAGGAATGCATAATTCAGTCTGTGTAACAAAAATAACTGACCTGATTTTCCCCCTCTTCTGCTATTTTCCACTGTAGTAGCTATTTGTCACCTGTCTGGAACACTGCCTTTTCACAGTTAAATCCAAAAGTGCAAATGACCACTAGGTAAGTTAAGACATTGTATAAAAGGTGCCTGGTAAGCTAAATGAAATCTTCTAAAAACTGTTAATTGATGGCAACAACTCTGCATTTTTCATTTTAAGTGCAGCAATTTTTTTTTTTTCTTTTAATGATAATGCTCCATAATCAGGTGTTGAATACATTACAAAATAGTTTAGTGCATTCCTGCTTGAGACCAGATAGATAAAGAAGTGGTTGCTCTACAAAGACAAGATAAAATCTCCAAACCTAGCATTCCTGGAAGTAGAAGAACGGCATGGCTTCCTTCTCCTGTTTGCTGATAATGCAGGTGGACTCCATTCACTTGGATTTTGGAAGATGTTATTGAAGTACTAGGGATAAAGAAAGAGCAGAGAAATAGCAAAACATTCAGAGTTAATTTTCATTACTACCTTGTCACTCCAGGAATACAGAATAATGAATTTTCCTAGATATTAATGATAGCGCTGTGAGATTTTAATGGGCTGCTTGACTTTCATGGGTGCACAGAAGATTACAAAAAGCTTCTCAGGAAGAGAGAAGTATTCAGTTGTGACCACTGTGTAGCACTCATACCTAGGCTACAGGGTTGGGGAGGGAAAAACTGTCTTAGCAGTGCAACCAGGAAAATATAAAGGCAGCTTTACGTGGTTACAGAAACATTAAAATAAATACATTAGAGAGGAGAAACCTCATTCTGTCACAGCATAACTTCCAAAATGGCTGGTGTTCACCTTGCTATTATTAAACTGAGCCTCTTCACCTGCCAGAGAAACCACAATCTATTGTTGCTGCTCCTCATGAACCACAGGGTCTGCAATGAAAACCACTTTGCACTGAGATAAGAGCGGAGAAGAAGAATGTGATAATAATATTTCTGTCAGTGTAATCTCACCAGGCGGTAACGCTTAATTGGAAAATACCACATGATCGATAAATCCACCCACTAAAAGATCACCACAGAAACTGACTGCACAGGCCATCTCTCAGCCCCAGCACTTAAACCCCAACACTGATCTTCAGTACAAAGCAAGACATATGTGTAAATGCAAATCAGTGACCTGAGAAACCACATCCGGATACAAACCCCTAGTGAGAAATTAGCACAGATTCAAAGCATCTTCTTAACAGTATAAACCATTACATCCGTTTTCCCAGGCAAATTTGTGCCCTTATGGTTGCAAAACATCTTTTCAACAGCCTAACTCATTTTATTTAAAGCTAAATAATAAAAAAATAAAAATCTTGAGATTTGGTTACCTATTGATTAACCATAATTTTACCTAGATTAAATATTCATGCCCTATGAATTCAATCACTGTGAATTTCATGTGCATAGAGACATGCTGTTTTCTGGTCTTAGATATAATAACAATCTCTATTCCATAACACATACTAGGCAATTCATTAACAATTTCATTGTAATATAAAAATTTTGAACTACTTACACTATGTATAGAGTTGAAAGTGGTAGATTACAGGTAAAAACAATCCCACTAATTTAAACCCTTTTCACAAGAAAAATGAACAATAGCTTGCAACTCAGGTTCCCAATACCTAAGTGGAATTAAACCACAGGACCTCTTCAACACAAAGCCAATTTTGGTTTTACATAAAATCTTGGGTCTGTGTAATCCATATCATGCCACATGTCTGAATAAAAGCTGTGACTGTGCAGAATAGTATCAGCTCCTTATGTGCAGATCCAATTTGAGAACTGGAGTACAAATGCAGATTAGTGGCAAGAGTACAGCTCAAACAAATTCATTGTGTAATTATAACTTCAGTGAGTTTTGCTGAATTGCTATGCTGATGTGATCCAAATGATAGTTTTACTGTGATGCTAAACCTCCTTAAGGTCTGTGTATCACATTTGATGATACACAGTTCAAATCTGCACAATTCAAATTCTGCACTCATAGTGACTAGTAGCCATGTCTTACCCCCTTTTTTGAATATTGACTTTCACATTTTTCTTTATAAGGTTTTTTATTCTTCATATGCCATGTTTTGTTTGTCTTTAATTTAAATGGGTATTTTATGATAATTTTCACCACAGTATATTAGCACATTGCTCTTATTAAATTTTAAGAATTTTGTGATCAGTTTTTTGCTTATGATTAAAAATTGTTAATTTTTAATCATAAGCAAAATGTTCAGTTCGTAACAAAACAGAAATAATCAACATCTTGTTACCTTTTTAAAAACCAGTTAGCAACGTACAGTTTAACAGACAGAGTTATATATTCTGCTTTCCTGATTCAGATGTTTTTCACTCAGTTCAATGTTTTTAGGATTAATAATTAGCTTCAGGGGCATGAGAATTTTGCTGACTCTGTGATACTTTTCCATTCTTGGATTATGCCTCGGTGTGAAGTCCACTGAAATCCAGGAGTTTCATGCAGAGGGTATTTTCAATACTTTTTGGACTAATAACAAAAGAGTTGGGTTTTTTACGCACAATTGTATTGGAACTGGCAACATCTAAGGCATACTTGGTCCTCCCAATACCAAAATTCTGTGAGCCTGAAATCACTTTATCAGTGTGCTTGTCAGCAGGATGACTTCACTTCTGCTAAGTTTTCATAAAGAATGTTTTCTTCGTTGGTTGACAGAACTGGAAACTCTGGTAAAACAAAACAAAATACCCACCCTGGTATTTTGAATTAGTAATGTTAAGGTGTACAACTCTTTGAGAAGCACTGGATACATACTGCCTGTGTTTATCAAGGCAGCACAGATGCAGACTGGGCACATCTTGTGCTTCACCTCGCACTCTGTAGGAGCGCAGCTTAATCTGGGAGCTGCCTCTGATCCAGCTGCTCTACAACACCACCTGCTCCCTACCTGTGCAGGGGAAAAAAAATTACGGTACTATGTCACGTTTTCCTCAATAGGATCCGCGGAATAAGCAGTATGGTACAGATTAGATACACGTGTTCTCTTGGCGACCTCGGCGACCTCCAGGGAGCCCCTCAGCAGCAGCAGCAGGTGGCCGAGGGGCAGCAGCGGCACGTCCTGCCCTGCGGGGACCGCCAGATGGGGGGGCTGGCCGGCTCTGACCAGACGGCGCTGCGGAGCCTTCCTGGAACAGATCCTTGCAGCGCAGGAAAAGCAGGAGCAGGCTGCTCAGGACACTGCCTGAGTCCCCACTTCGTCACCTCCGCCCTCCCCATCCAATGCACACCCCCTCTGCTAAAACGCTTTGTCCATCCCGCCGCCTGTCTGGCAAATATCCCCTTCCCCAAAGCGCGGGAAGGGAGGAGGGAGCTGGGGAAAGGGAGAAGGAGGCGGCTGTGGATTTTACCCGTAGCAGGCGCCCGGTCCCCGGGGCGTGAGCGGCGCTGCCCGGGCGGGCGGCTGCAACTGCAG